TGGCTCTAGCCTGAAGCTAGCCACTAAGCATGCTGGCCCTGGGACCTCCTGGGAGAGGCCCTGCCACAGGCCAAATTCAGCTGCAGCCTGTGCCCTGCCCAGAGCCACCTGGCATGAGCCAACAAGTAATATGCAGATGGCCACTACCTCTGCTGGACTTAGAGGTGCCTCAAGAGGCCAAACCCCAAACAGGGGCTGGCTTCTGCCAGTGCTGGGTTGGGGCAGCTCAGCAAGAGGTACAGGGCACACCGAGGCCAATGCTGCTTGTTTGGGGTTTGTGAACTTTCGAGAGATTTTAAGAAGGTCTACAGCATGAGCCAAGACAGGCGGTGTGTATGGAAGAGCCACAGGAAGCAGCTTGGGTGGGCTGCACGTTGCGGGGCGGGGCGGGGCGGGGCCTCAGGGAACCACCTGGGTGGGGCTGGCAGTTTTAGCTAAGTTGATGGAGACTCAGATATGGCGGCAGCCTGTGCTTGCGCCTGCACACTGGGCGGGAGAGGGCTCAACAAAGGAACAAGGCTTCTGCCAGTACTTCTGCCTGGGAGGAAGCCGACCCTCCAGCCCTCGCCCCGAAGCCCGACAGCTCAGCTCCTCCCGTGTGTCCCCGGCACCTTTCAGCTGCTGCCTCAGCGCTGGAGCGAGCGGGCAAGTCGCTCAGCGGTAAGTCTGCGCGCGGGTCTTTTAAAAGGAGCCTGGGACTCCCGCCGCCCTCCGTCTCACTCAGCCACAGTCTCTGCTGCTTTTCACAGCTAGAAGTCATGGGGACTTCTGTCCCTGGCACTGGAACCCCGGGCTGGGAGCCCGGTGTGGGGTCGGGACCCCTCGCCCCTCAGGGGGGACCCCACAGCCGAGAAACCCCTCCCGGTTTTTAACCGCCACACGCGGCTGTGGGACCTACCCGTTCCGTGTCTCTGCCCCTCCTACCCGTCTCGATATGGCCTCTTCTGTATGTCCCCAGTTGTAGGACTTCTGCTCAGTCAGATTTAGGGTGATTCGCAATGACGGTCGTTCTGTAGATTAGTTGTAATTTCGATACAGTCATGAGAGGAGGAGAGCACCGCGTTAACCTGCTCCGCCATCTTGACCGGAAGTCAGAAACTTGAAATTTTTAAGTCACCTGCAGTCAATGTACCTCTCAGAGGTCATTTTTAAAAGAATTCATAAATTAACCACATGGGCAGTTTATTGGTTTGAGAGGAGACAATGGAGCTGCAAAGGAGATTGGCCACTGGTGACCTCCCACCCACATGGGCACATGTCATGGGCAGGGTGCCAGGTGAGCACACTTAGAGTTGGCTATAGGATTTACATGTTTAATGCTTTGAGCTGTGATAACCTGATGGTGATGACGATGATAAAAAAAAAATAATAATAAAGCTATCTGTGTTAAGAGATGTGAAGTAAGGAAAAATACAGTTTCAGAGGTTGGCAATTATGTGGTCTGCTGATGTAGCCGGCATGGTGTTTGGCCAGCAGAGTGTTTAGACTTTTTTGAATTGGAAAATTTCATTTGAAAACTCTAAACTGAGTTTTCGTTGAAATGTTTTATTGTCTCCTGAGGGATTCCCACATGACAATCATGCCTGGAGCAGTGTGGAGGCTTCTAGACACAGAGGCTTTCCAGTTCTCTGCAGCCTCCACGCCTCCCAGGGATCCTCATGCCTGAGAGAGAGTCTGAATCTCCTAGAGAGCTCACAAGAACAGACAGCAGCCCTCACCCCCATTTCTGATTCAGGAGGTTTCAGCTGGGGCCCTAGAATCTGTAGGTCTAACTAGTTACTGGTGATGGGATGCTGCTGGTCCAGCACCACTCAGAATCACTGATACACATCGCAGCTTTTGTAGCTACAAATGGAGCCAGACCCGGCTTATGTTTTCTATCTCTTATTCCCAGAAATATTTGATCTTTGAGGTATGTTTTGCACACATCAGATCTTGCTCTCTAATATGTTGCCTTAATTGTTAAACTTCCAGAGATTTGGATGGCATCTTATCATGTCTTTGGTCTCGTTGATTTATTATTATTTTTTTAAGTGAAAAGCGTTGCTAAATTCTTCCAAGTGTGGTATAAAGACATGAAAAGCAGGAATTAAAAAAATGTTCACTCTAGGATCAGAACTGTGGGGAGAAGCGTTGATTCCACTTCAAGATCTGGTTAAAATGCACCCTGCAGGTGTCCATAGCTTGCCCTTTCCTCTGGCCTCACTCCAAAGCCTCAGCCCAGCCCTTCCTCAGTGGGAGGTGATTCTGTCAGTTTCCTCAATAGCAGATCCGTCTTTTTAACTGTTTTTGTTATGGAAGAAGAAAATGTCCATTAAATCATCACGGCGTTATCCACGCTCTCACAGAGCTCAGATTTATGCCACTACTGACCATACCTCTCCTTAAGGGTCTTCTGTAAAAAACTAAACTAGAAAACAATTTCCATCCTGGTGGTTAAAAGCGTTTTCAGATATTTCCTTCCCGGAATCTCCAGGCTTAGATTTTACCTTCTCCTTTCAGCTTTTGAGCGAGAAAGGTGAGCAGCGGCTGCCATTATCTCGCCTGATGTGCTGGACAAGTGATTGCTGAGTATTAACAGGGGCTGTGGCATCAATGCCGCTGGTGTCCTACTACGTGGCCTAGCATGTTCTCTTTCTGGGAGGATTAGTTTGGTCTGGCCTGGGGGTGGGCATGCAGGACGACGCATCCTGTCCCTTGTAACTTCATGATCTTCGAGCCACTGGAGAGTCAGTTTCTCTTTTATGATTCGCAATGATGCGTGTGAGCAAAACGCTCAGAAATTCATACCTTCAGCTGGAGAGGTGATGCATGACGTAAGCTGTGAGGCAGGGTCCACCTCACAAGCTGTCTGGTTCAATGACAGGCAATGGGGTCACACATCCCATGGTGGGTGGGAGGTCAGGAGATGTCAGGTGACTGTCTCCTGAGGTCTCCCTCTCCTGGGCTGTGTACAGAAGCCATGGGACAGTGTGACAGAATAGCTTAGAGGTGCCATGTCTTCACAGAATGCCTTGTCACTTCACGCCCCTACTCCCATTGAATTCAGATGAAGCAACGGAACTGAGTGAGCAAAATACACCCCTCTAAAGTAGCAGATGATTTTTTTTCCATTGAAAAGATACATTATTGAGTTTAATTTTTCCTGTCTTTAGTCGATGTTTCTTTTGACGATGCTGATTTTTTAAAAGACTTCTTTGTATCTTGATAGTACCTTAAAATCAGATTTATCTGGTTGGGGTATTTACAGACGATGAAATTCACCAGCTTTAAGAGCACAATTCAGAGGGTTTTGACAAAGGTATAGGCATGTAACCACCGCCATAATCAAGATATAAAACCTCTCTATTGAGTGAAAAACAACCTAAAACCTCTTAATCATCCCCCAAATTCCCTTGCGCCTCTTTCAACAGCCCCCCTCCATCCACCCCGCCCCTGGCAACCACTGAGTGTAGGACCCCAGCTAGCAGTGCAGAGCTGCTGCTATGGAAAACCCACACATCTGGCCTCAGAAGCGGTGTGAGTAGGAGAGCGTAGAGAAGGAAAACAGAAAGGTCTTTTTTCCTTACACTAGGAAATTCCAAAACCTCTGAAGTGATTCATCTCCTCATCGTTCACGACACGAAACCGACACCCAGAAACGTACATGTCAAGGACAGCAACTGTCATATGATAACGAAGCTAATTCATACAGAGCACTTACTATATGCCAGGCACTGAAATCTGTGCTTTTATTATACCTCATACTATGCTGTAGGTACTTGTATTATCCCCTTTACAGACAAGAAGGCTGAGGTTCAGAGAGGTTAAGTAACTTGCTCAAGGTCACACAGCTGGTAGTGGCAAAGCCAGCAGTCAGATTCTGGAGTTCTTACCTTCAACCACTGGGCTATGCTGCTGCTTCTTATATAATTTAGAATTCATGTATATTCTTCTCCTAGTAGAGCCCAGCCACATTTGATGCATCGAATTTATAGTCCCATCCTCCAGGAGACAATCAAATAAGTATATTGTCTAGTTTTAAAACTTCCCTCATATCGGGAAAATGCTTTTGTTTAGTTTAGTTTATCAGTGTCTGAGGAATTCCTGAGTGCTGGGTAATATGTAAAACGCTTCACAAATGATCTCCTTGAGTCCTCTCAGCAATTCTGTGAGGTAAGTATTCTCATCCTTGCTTTAGGGAAGAGAAAACTGAAGCTTAGAAATTCAAATGACTTGCTCCAGGTCACACGGCCAGGGAGCTGCAGAGGGTTTTCACCTAGGTTTGTCTGACTCCAAATGCCAAACTCTGAGTGTTTTTGCCCTTTCCTCTGGCCAGGAGTTCCCTCCATGATATTAAAAAAGATTTATACACATACACGTACATATGTACACGCATGTATATATATACATACACATACACTCACACGTTGCTTTCATCTTATCAGCTGTAAATCCACGGCCTCTTCCAGCTGTCATAGCTACTTGGAAGAGATGAGTGTTGTTGAGAGTTCAATTATGTCCCCTCTCCGTCACGAAGAGGAAGTCCTAACGCCCAGGACCCGTGACCTCAGTTGGAAATAAGGTCTTTGCAGATGACCAAGTTAAAATGAGGTCGCTTAAGGTGGGCCCCAATTCAGCGAGCCTGTGTTCTTATTAGAAGGGGAAATGTGGACACAGAGACAGACATGCGTAGAAGGAAGATACTGCGAGACACAGGGAGAACCATCTAGAAGCCAAGGAACACCTGAGGCTACCGGAAGCTCTGATGGATTCCCCCTTGTAGTTTCTCAGAAGGCACCAACCCTGCTGTCATCTTCATTTCAGACTTCTGGTCCCCTGCACTGTGAGTCACTGAATGTCTGCTATCGAAGCCGCCCAGTTAGGCTAGCCCCAGGGAACTAACACAAGTGTTTTCCAAGTGAGCATGTGGCCTCAGCCCCTCCGTGTTGTCTGACCCCAAGCAGGGTCAGCAGCCCCTTCCCCACCCGGAGAGGAGCGGCCCTCCTCCGCGCACCGACCTTCATTGCAGTGTTGAACCGTGTGGGTCGACACGATCATCCCGTTCTGAGCGCACTCACTCCCAGATGCCGCCTGGAACAGAACGCGAGCCAGTAAAAGTCGAGTCTTTGGGGAAATCAGAAGTCGAGGCCCCGAGGGTACCTCACGAAACTGAGCTTAATTTAAAGGCTGCGTTTTTAGAAACTGCCCAGTGTTCTATCACGCCGCAGAGAAATTAAATCCCACCCAAGGACCGGATTCTCATGATCATGAGAACGCTCCCTTGTCTATGCTTCATCTCCCCGCCAGCACAGGCGGCACAGAGACGACACCGGGCTGACTGGGACACCTGTCTGATCGGTGGGGAGCAAGGACTTAGCACGTCGATTCCAGCCCTGTGAGGTTCACCTCATTCCACTGTCCCGCACACACGGACAGTCCGCAGCCCGCCTTTAGTCAACAACCTGGTCAAACACAGGAAGTTCATGGTTGCTCTTTATCTGCTCTGCATCCACGCCCTCCTCCTTCGCTGTTACGAGCTCTTTCCAGTTCTAAGCCACTGCCCTGTTCTTTTTTTCTCTTCTGTTATTTATTGCAGATATTAAAAAAGATTTATATACATATATGTGCGTATGTACACACATGTATATGTGTGTATATATACATACACATACACTCACACGGAAAGAAAAAGGTTGCAAAAGAGTATATGTTATATAATGTCATCTTTAACATAATAATTTAAATTAGACACTAATAGTCGACATTAATTGAATATGAATCATGTGCTAAGTCCTTCACATATTGTCTTATTTCGCTAATTCTATTAGTAGTATAATATATGTTAATAAGTACAGAGAAAAATAAAAACTAAAAGGCTGAATAGCGACTTCCTAAAGGTGGAGCCTCTTGGAGGAGAGACAGAAGACTTCTCTTTATATTCTTTTGACAGTTTTCATTGTTTAAAATAAGTTCTTGCATCATCGTTAACTCTACTGAGAAGTCACAAAATCTCAACATCAAACGCGCGTGACCACTCAGTCTTGAGGTTACGTCTGGCTTTCCCAGGCCAACGCTGGGTATGCAAATTTGATATTTTTGGCTCACAGAATTTTTAAAAGTATCTTGGAATCGATCGCCAATGTGAATGCTGTTTTCCAACTCCTGATAAACTATGAGACCCTGGGAACAGCTTGACGGTCTCTGTTGACCAGAGCCCGCAGCCTTGGAGTGGGCTTCACCTCACTGCTCTACTCATTTTTGTGACTGTCTGTCCGCTGGAAACCAGCAGCTCCCAGACTTGGAATCATTTGGGGAGCATGAGAAACTACCGATGCCTGGGCCCATTCCCAGAAGGTGTGTTTTAGTTAGTCTTGGAGGCTAGCCAACAGGAGTTTTAAAAGTAGCCTGGATCATTCTAATATGCAGTCAGGCTTGAAACCCACTATGGGTTTTAAGCCCATTTGATCAGATCCAGCCTTCCATTCAGAGCAGGAGTTCCCTCCATGATGTGATCAATGTTAGTTCGTGGGTATTATCTTCCTCCTGTAGGGATTTCCATGTTTAACTGGGTTCCAGGTTTTAAACTGAATCGATCTCAAAAACGCTGGTGGTGAAAAGTCAGGCTTTCTGCTACCTGGTCATAGACGATCCAAGGAGAAGCATCTGGGCGTCCCTGGCCTCCATCCTCCAGGACAGTCTTAAAAGAAGGATTTCTAAACTATTCCACCCCCTTGGCTGTACATTCGACAGCTGACAAACCTGGAAAATATGGATGCCTGCCCTCCCTCCCGCATGCCGAGTCTGACATAACTGGTCTAGGGTACATCTCTAGCACTGCAATATTCTAACGTTTCCTAGATGATTCTTGCACACAGCCAAGGCTCTGAACTACTGATCTACACCTGGGTTTCTCATTCTTGTCACGCCCACCTTTTGGGCCAGATCATTCTTTATCGTGGGACCTTTCTGTGCATTGTGGGACGCTTAGCAGCACTCCTGGTCTCTACCCACCAGACCAGTCGCACTACCTGAGTTGTGACAACCAAAAATGTTTCCAGACATTGCCGGGTGTCCCCTGGAGGGGACAGGCAAAATCACCGACAGTTGAGAACCACTGGTCCAAACCCATCTGGGACCAGGTGCCAAATCAGCTCCAGAGGAATCACCTTAGAGGTCTTTAAAGACACGGGATCCATAGGTTCCCAGCCCTGCAATTTCTGATTAAACACATCTTAGGTGGGGCGCCGGAGCCTGCATTTTAAACAAGCGGCATGAAGGATTCTGGGGTATTGAATACAAGTGAACAACCCCCGGGAAGGGCTCCTCATCATCAATCATGTCTGTGTGATGAGCACTAAGCGGGCCATTTATTCTGCGGTCATCCCCGACTCTGCCTACCAGGGGCCGTTAACTGCATTACCTTGTAAGTGTCTCTTTCTGAATCATTGTCTTGGTCTTCAACCCTCTGTGGGACACTCATTTGGTTACCCATTGTTCCTGTAATAGAGAAAAAATGAGAGAGAAATTAAAACCCAAGACAAACACATGTCTTACTCCTGCCTGTGTAACTACAGTGACAAGTTACTGTGATGTATCTTCACAAGCCCAGGGTAGACCAACTGCTTAGATTTATTTTGGGGAGTGAGAGGAGATTTTGGACTCATCACTCAACAGAATTAAAGTCAAATGCAGCTCCAATTTTCACTTGCAGTTCATTGCTGGGGAGTAAATATTTATCATCATGAAAAGTATTCAGGGTATGTAGCATTTTCTTCCCTCTTAGGCAGTCAGAGCTATTATATCAAGGAGATATTAGAATGAGGATAATTAAAAAAATACAGTGTTTAGTATTCTCTTTTCCTCAGACTGAATTAGGTCTGTTAAAACCTTTTCATAGCACTGGCTTCCCCCCCACCCCCATAACATTCAGTACTACTTGTAATGATATCTTTATTTGGCTATATTTTTATTCATTCATTGATTCAACAAATATATATTGAACACTAACTCTGCACCTTATGCTGTGCCAGATACTCGGGTCACAACTGTGAATTAAAGAGACCAGGCCCCCTGACCTCCCAGAACTGCAGTCTGGGGGGTGGGCAAACAAACAGACGAGAAATCCATAAACAAGGCCATTTCCGGTGAAGACAGTATGATGCAGTGGTTATCAACACAAAGTCGGAATGGGGCAGGACAACCTGGACTTGAACCTTTTCTGCTTCTCATCGCTGTGTATCCTTGGATGAGTTCATTAGCCTCTCTGTGCCTCACAGGACTGCTACAAGGACTCGATGAGTTCCCACTTGTAAAGTGGTTAGAATCATGTCTAACTCATAATAGGCAATGCATAATGTTTGTTAAACAAAACACATAAGGTTCAATGCTAGGAATAAAAATAAATTGGTAACATAATAAGAGTGGGCCATGGTAGAGAGCACGAGGTAGATGGTTCTGGAATGAAGTAACAATTGACCCAGACTTGGAGGGCAAAACAAAATATTTATTTAACTTCGGTCTCCCTTACGCAAGAAGTTATCAATACCACAAGGGCAGGACTATCTTTATCCACCGCTGTATCTCCTGTTCTCAGCGCTTCATGTGCATTTATCACGTGCTAACTATTATTTATCGGTCGAATAGAGGGAATCACCATTTGATAAGCACCCTTCATCTGGCAGGTGCTGAGCTAGGCATGTGCCCACATCATCACTAACCCTCTCAAGAGCCTTGTTAGAACCATAATGATAACAGTAAACAATTATTTAGCATGTTCTCCCTCCAAGCACTGTTTTCCGGGTGTGTTTCCGGTGTCATCTCATTTATCCCTACAGCATCCTGAAAGGTGCATGTCATCATCATGTCGTTCCACATATGAGGAAGCTGAGTCACAGGGGTTCGATTACTTTCCAAAGGTCACCCAGCTAATGATGGCAGAGGCAAGATTCAAACACAGGCTGCTGCGTTCCCGATGACTCGAACGTTCCAGATATTATTACCTCCCCTCCGAGAGGAGGGAATCGAGTCTCCCAAACTCACCCAGGACACAGATCCAGCAAGTGGCCAAGCAAGGATCTGACCTAGGGTCCATCTGGTTCCAGAAGCTCTCTCAGCGATGCCAAGACTTGCCGCCTTGCTACCTCAGAGCTTCTTTCTCACACACACACAAAGATTCCAGTGTCACCCCTCTCCAGAGACCTGGCCGCTGGCTCATCTGCTCTGGGGGCTTTCAGAATAAAAGCCAGGACTTTTGGCTGGAAGCAGCCGGTGCATCTCCAAGAATCCCCCTGGGCCTTTCGCCCACGGTAGGAGCTTTTATGCCGTGGTAATCGACATGTTGAGTAATCAGAAATTATGGAGGTCAAAAAGGGTCACTTGTTCTCTGGGGAGAATTTGGTAGATAACAGAATCTGGGAATTTTATATGTTTTCTAATCACACTACATAATAAAGCTGAGCAGTGTGAAAACCTACATGACACGAGATAGTTTGCAATATTTCCTATTCACTTCATCTATAAATGGGACATTATGGGACATTATGAATGTAATACTGAATCTTTAAGACCAGGGTCAGCAAATGACAGTTGTGGGGCAAATCCTGCCTCAATATGGCCGGTGAGCTAAGAATGGCTTTTACATGTATAAGCAGTTGAACAAAAAAATCAGAAGAATCATGGATCGTGACACATGAAAATTTTATAAAATTTAAATGTTGGCATCCATGAATAAAGTTTTATTAGGAGACAGCCTTGCCCATTCGTTTATGTATCGTCTACATATGGCTGTTTTCATTTACAGGGGCCAAGCTGAGTAGTTACGGCAGAGACCATGTGGCCTACAGGGCCTGAGATATTTACTATTTGACCCTTTCCAGGAAGTTTACCAGTCCCTGCTCAAGATCACCCCGGGTGACATATACCCATTTTGCCAGTAAGGGGATTGAGGGAGCTGAGAAATTAAAAGTTGCCCGTGGTAAGACTGACCAGGATTTGAACCTTCTGTGTATAAAAATAATAACTCATTAATAGTAATGATAAAATGGTAGTAATAGTAATAATAACAACGACGAATTTGGTGAGTGCTTACCATGCGTGGAAAAGCTTCAAAAAGTTTTGCTTGTGTAAACTAATTCACTATTTAGAGCAAACCAACGAGATAATGGTGCCATCATCCTAATGTTACAGAAGATAAAACTGAGCTTCATAGGTTAAATGCCTTGACCAAGGCCACATGCACAAATATACACATACTGGACTATGCCTCTATCTAAAGCCAGCTTTTTACACAACTAAAACTTATTTACCAATGGGTTTACAAACGTTTACAGCTCCTATTAAATTCAGTCCAAGTTGGGGTCTACTTCCAATAAAAATGTTGGCATTTCCGTAAAATCCTCGGGCTGGGAGAAGTGTGCCGTGTGCAGGCGTAAGAGAAAGTTTTTTATCCCACAGAATGGGGGTTACATGACCCTGCTCATTGCACATTTTAAGTCGCCTCTCAGGACTTCAGGGCCGAGGAGACTGAAAGAAAAAAAAGCCATTTGAGCATCTTTGGCTGTGACCACCCGGATTCAGATAGCATTGCTTTCTGCCAGAGTGATAACACATGCATTGCGAAATTGCTCCTGCCCTTCCTTCAGATTTTGTGAAGAGCAGGATTTAGAGGGGACCAAAAAACCTCCAAAGATTACTGCCACCTATTGGCCGATATCAATATCAGCAGAAATGAATACATCCCGCGCTACAGTTGGAGGTGAAAATGTCTGGGGTCCAAGAGAATGCTTGGCAACGAAACCTTAATTAAACCTTAAATGTTTAGCAATTAAACCTTTGTTTAAAAGTTGACAACAGGACAGCAAGTCTTTTCATGCCCCAGAGATGGTACAACTTATCAAACAATAACGATCATCACATCTGACGTGTAGGAAGAGCTTGCCATGTGCCAGCTCTGTGTTGAACGCTTGTGGAACAGAGTAGTATAGCGTGTAGGACAAGAATGTGGGCTCTGGGGACACACCCTGAGTTTTGAACTGGGCAAGTTCCTGAGCCTCGCTGGGCCCCTGTTTCCTCTTCTGTAAAACGGGGATAATAATAGTACGCACCCATCTTAAGAGGTTGTCTCGAGAATTAAATGAACACATGCAAGGTGCCGTGAGCAGGGCCTGGCACGTGAGAAGTGCCACGCGAGTGTTAGGTGTGATTAGGCTAATCGTCATTATTGTCATTGCTATTTCGGCCCCCCAAAGTCGCCTGATAGTGAGAATCGGTGGAGGAGCCTGGCAGCACTTCTGATACCCACTGAATAGTCTGGTTGGGGAATCTGTATTTTTAGCAAAGATACAGGTGATTCTCACGGTCAGGCACATATGAAAAATGCCATGATGGTGGCCATCTGTCCAGGCTGTCCTGGGATGAGGGTGTTCGGGGTGCAGGACTTCTGTGTGAAAACAGGGCAAGTCCTGAGCAAACCAGGATGGGCCGATCCAGGATGCAGTGAGGCAAGAACTCTTTATGCCCCCTTAGGAGATGGCAAAGCTGAAGCCCAGACAATAATTCCCGTGACGTCAACAAATGAGAAAAATACATCAGCTATAGAGTTTTTCATCCAAAAAACCCAATTCGTTTGAAAAAGCCATCTTTTACATTGAAAGGGACAAAGTTTAAAGATGATGTCAAAGTGTCCTTTCTTTCATGAGCCGATGGTGTTAGCTGTGTTTTTATGACCTTATCTGACATTCAACACAAGCTGCCACATGGCAGAGGGTTTTGTTTGTGAAATCGGACTTGTGTGTGCAGTTCTAGCATTTTGAGAATGTGGGTTATGTCTTTCGCCATGTCGGGGGGTCATTCAGATGAGAAAATTCCTTTATTTCTCCGCTGCCCGGCTGTGTCCTTGAGGCCAGTTTTCAAACCAGGCCACACATTAGAGTCACCAGGGAGGATTTAAATCCTTGTGCTCAGGCCCTCGCCAGGTCAGCCCGATCCCATCAGATTCTCTGGGGCTGGGGCCCGGGTATCGGTATATTTTCAAGATCGTGAGGTGATTTCCATGACAGCCGAGGCTGAGAGTTGCTATTCTGGATATTTTGGGGTGAGCGAGCATCCCCCAGCCAGGGGTCCTGACACAGACAACCAGGCTGGGGGTTCTCAGACACAGGCCAGGCCTTGGCCTTCGGGGCCCACAAATCACAGTCACCCCAGCATCCGAAAACATTTCCAACCCTTTCAGGGAACGCTGGTGGGTCTTCCATTCAGTCAGCCTCCAACTCAAGAGAAAACTGGGTCTCAAGCTTCCTGCCCCGAGAATGGGCGTGTGGGGTGTGCCTGCTTGCGGACAGCCTCACCTTCTGATTGGCTATGGAGAGACAAGGACCGTGTGCCCCACGGGAGGAGGGCGGAAGGGCGGCCTGGGTGGGAGTGATCACTCCCCCCTCCTTGTCTGGGCATCCCTCTTTCCTCCGAGAAAAAGAGCTCTGGAGCGAAACAGGCTTC